AATTAGCTGGGCATGGTGGTCCCAGCTACTCAGAAGGTGAGGTGGGAAGATCACTTGAAAAGGGAGATAAAGCTGCAGTAAGCTATGATCACATATGTCACTGCACTCTAGCCTGGGTGACTGAGTGAGAGTCTGTCTCAAAAAAGAAAAAAGAAAGAAGAAAGAAAGCTGGAAGCCAGGCACAGTGGCTCATGCCTGTAATCCCAGCACTTTGGGAGCCCAAGGCAGGAGGATTGCCTGAGGTTGGGAGTTCAAGACCAGCCTGGACAACTTAGTGAAACCCTCTCTCTACTAAAAATACAAAAATGAGCTGGGTGTGTTGGCGAATGCCTGTTAGCCCAGCTACTCAGGAGGCTGAGGCAGGAGAATCGCTTGAATCCGGGAGGCAGGGGTTGCAGTGAGCGGAGATGGCACCACTGCCCTCCAGCCTGGGTGACAGAGCGAGATTCCATCTCAAAAAAAAAAAAAAAAAAAAGAAAAAAAGAAAGAAAAAGAAGCTGGAAGATTTACAATGCCAAATTTCAAGATTTACTATAAATCTGCAATTTTCATGACAATGTAGTATTGACATAAGCATCAACATAGAAATCAATGGCAGAACAGACAATCCAGAAACAGATATACACATACACAGTCAATTGATCTTATCAAAAGTGACTAAGTAACTCAATGGAATGGGATAGTCTTTTTGATAATCAGGCTGGTACAACTGAATATCTGTATTAAAATAAAAGATCTATATATCATAAATAGTAAGCTTGAAATGCATCATAGACCAGAAGGCAAAGCTAAAACTATAAAACTTCTGGAAGAAAATACACTATATATATTTGTGACCTTGGGTGGAGTAGGCAGATTTCTTAGGACGCAAAAACATAATGCTGCAAAAAAAACCAACCAAACAAACAAAAAAACCCTGATAATCTGGATTTCATCAAAATTTAAAAGTGTACTTCAAAAAACAAAATTTCAAAAAAGAAAAGGTAAGTCACAGATTGGGGGAAAATATATGTTTTAACAAAAGACATATCAAGAATAAAGAATTCTTACAACTCATTAATAAGCACAAAACCCAGTTTTTTTTGTTTTTGTTTTTGTTTTTGAGATGGAGTCTCACTCTGTCACCCAGGCTGGAGTGCAGTGGCACGATCTTGGCTCACTGCAACCTCCGCCTCCCGGGTTCAAGCAATTCTCTGCCTCAGCCTCCCGAGTAGCTGGGATTACAGGCACAAGCCACCACACTCAGCTAATTTGTGTATTTTTTAGTAGAGACGGAGTTTCATCATGTTGGCCAGTCTGGTCTTGAACTCCTAACTTCGTGATCCGCCCGCCTCGGCCTCCCAAAGTGCTGGGATTACAGGTGTGAGCCACCGCACCCGGCCAAAAAACCCAGTTAAGTGAACAAAAGATGTGAACAGACACTTGACAAAAAAATATATACAAATGGCCAATGAGCCCATGAAAAGATGCTCAAAGTCATTAGTCACCAGAAAAATTGAAATTAAAACCATAGTGAGATACCACTACATATTCACGAGAATGGTCAACATCAAAGACTGATGACCAGCAAGGGTATGGAACAACGAGAATTCTCATAACCACACTGGAAAACTTTGGCAGTTTCTTATAAACATTCAGTCACCTATGACCCAACCATTACACTCCTAGACATGTATCCCAGAGAAATGAAAACTTATTTCCACAAAAAGATCTGTACTTAAACGGTCATAGCATCATTTATAATTGCCAAAAGATGAAAATAACCCAAATGTCCAATAACAAGTAAATACTGTGTTATAGTCATACAGTGGAATACTACTGAGCAATAAAAAGGTGCAAATTAGGGCCGGGCGCGGTGGCTCACGCCTGTAATCCCAGCGCTTTGGGAGGCTGAGGTGGGTGGATCACGAGGTCAAGAGATCGAGGTCATCCTGACCAACATGGTGAAACCTCATCTCTAGTAAAAAAATACCAAAATTAGCTGGGCATGGTGTCACGAGCCTGTAATCCCAGCTACTCGGGAGGCTGAGGCAGGAGAACTGCTTGAACCCAGGAGGCGGAGATTGCAGTGAGCCGAGATTGCGTCACTGTACTCCAGCCTGGTGCCTGGCGACAGAGTGAGACTCTGCCTCAAAAAAAAAAAAAAAGAAAAAAAAAAGGTGCAAATTACTGAATTAACATGGATAAACCTCAAAAACCATTTTGGTCCAGAGTGGTGGACTGTGCCTGCAATCCCAACACTTTGGGAGGTCAAGGTGGGAGGATCACTCGGGCCCAGGAGTTCCTGACCATCCTGGACAACACACCAAGACCCCACATCTACAAAAATTTTTTTTTTTTTTTAATAAAGACGAGGTTTCACCATGTTGGTCAGGCTGGTCTTGAACTCCCAACCTCAGGTGATCCGCCCACCTTGGCCTCCAAAGTGCTTGGATTACAGGCGTGAGCCACCGTGCCCAGCCAAAAAAAATTTTTTTAATTAGCCGAGAGTGGTGGCACGCTTCTGCAGTCCCAGCTATTCAGGAGGCTGAGGAGGGAGGATGCCTTGAGTTCAGGAGGTCACGGCTGCAAGTGAGCCATGACTGGGTCACTGCACTCCTCCCTGGGTGACAGAGATCCTACCTCTGAAAAACAAAAAATTGCTGAAAGCCGGACATAAAAGGGTACATGTTATTTGATTCTGTTTATACAAAGTTTTAAGAAAGTCAAAACTAACCTATAGAGATAGAAACCGGAAGACTGGTTGCCTAGGGTGAGGACAGAGGTGGGGAAGGAGAAGGAACTGTGCATTGATGGAAGTATTCTGTATTTCCACTGGGGCACTGTGGTTAGAGGGGTGCATACATTTGTCAAAGTTCATCAAGCTGTACACTTAAAATAGGTGCAATCACACCTGTAATCCCAGTACTTTGGGAGGTTGAGGCGGGCAGATCATCTGAGGTCAGAAGTTCAAGACCAGCCTGGCCAACAAGATGAAACCCTGTCTCTACTAAAAATATAAAAATTATCAGGGCATGGTGGCACGTGCCAGCTACTCAGGAGGCTGAGGCAGGAGAATCGCCTGAACCCGGGAGGCAGAGGTTGCAGTGAGCCAAGATCGCGCCATTGTACTCCAGCCTGGCGACAGAGCGAAACTCCGTCAAAAAAAGAAAAAAAAAAAGGCGAATGAACAGAAATTGGTGTCTCAAAGGGATTTAGCCTAGTAGGGGAAGTCACAAATCAGCTGAGATATGAAGACTGTGTTTGCCAGTGTGGGGAGGAATGAACCACCCAGGCAGTGGGCAGACGGAAAAGAATGTTCAAAGGCCCCATGGAAGAAGGTAGGAGTATGGAATATACCAGAAATCTAAATTAAAAAAAAAAAAGTGGGGGTGACTGGAGAGGAAGAGAGAACAGGCTGAGAATATGCTAGGGATGGGAATGGTGGCAGGAACACAGAGAAGAAGTGAGCAGTCCAGGCAGATGACGGTGCCCGTGTGGATGGAGATGGTCTTGGGAGATCCGCGTGGAGGTAAAATACACTTCACCTGGACTAGATGCCAGGTGATGCAGAATGTAGAAGGAATGATTTCTCCATTTCTGGTTAGCACTGAACTGAACAGACAATGGTGCCATTCATGGGGATAGGGATCAAGAGGCCCAGACTTAGGAAGATAACGAATTTGCTTTGGGATGTGTATATTGAACTTAAAAGCCTCTGAAGCATGGAATCAGCAGACAGATTACAGAGGTTTGTCTTTTACAGTAAAGGTGGCTCCGTATAAATTTGTGAGCAATGACATATATTTATAGATGGCAATGAAACTGCTTTGGGGTCAGCCGCGGTTGCTCACGCCTGCAATCACAGCATTTTGGGAGGCCAAGGCGGGCAGTTCACTTGAGGTTTGGAGTTCGAGATCAGCCTGGCCAACATGGTGAAACCCCAACTCTAATAAAAATAAAGAAATTAGTCAAGTGTGGTGGTGAACAACTGTAGTCCCAGCTACTTGGAAGACTGAGGCAGGAGGATCAATTGAACCCGGGAGGCGGATGTTGCAGCAGAATCAGATCGCGCCACTGCACTCCAGCCTGGGTCACAGAGTGAGACTCTGTCTCAAAAAAAGAAAAGAAAAAGAAATTGCCTTGGGAGTCAAGAGGGCATGGAGGGAGCCTGGAGTCAATAAAAATTTGCAAAGAGGGGCCTGCAAATAAGACGGGGAAAGACCCGCCAAGTCAAGCCACTAAAACTCAGTGTTTTAGTGTGATCAGAAGGAAGCGGTGCTCAAACGCAAACGCTGCTGAAAACTCAGGTAAGCCGAAAATGCAGAAGTGCTGGACTTGGCAAATTGGAGGCCACTGGTAACTTCAGCCAGTTTCCGACAGCGCTCAAAGGGATGGCTGGAGTGGGCTGAAGAGTTCACGACAGGCGAGGAAAGGAAATGGCTGAAACCAGACAAGTCGGAGCTTGCCTGTGGGTAGGAAGAGACAGAAAGTGGCCGCAGGTGGAAGATGGAAGAGAGGCAAGTGTTTAGTTAGTTCTTAAGTAGGAAAACGGGAGCACGTTTCAAAGACGATCGGAAGAATGCTCTGAGGAAGGGTGATGACTGGAGGGGTGCCCCGCCGTCCCCCACCCCCACCCCCACTCCTCCCTCGCGTTCACCCCCGTCGCCCCGGGCTCCCCTCCCCCTCCCCACTCCTCCAGGCTCCGGGGCGGCAGCCACCCCGATCCCCCGGCCCGGCCCCCAGCGCCTCCTCACCGCAATGGCCCCCTCGCTCAGTTGGCCGACCATGGCTCCGCCGCACTGGCTCCCTCGCGGACCCCACGGCAGCCCGAGCTTCCCACCGCCCCGGGTCCCGCGCGCTGCGCAGTTATTGGCCCGAGGAGTTGCGCGCGCCGCTCCCGCCCCCGACGTGCGCGCAGCACAGGGGCGGGCCCGGGAGCTGCGCAGCCGCCGCATTGGCCGAGGCGCGGCCCACGTGACCCTCCTGCTGTCCCGAGCTAGGCCTAGGGCGCAGCGGGGCGCGGCGCGACGCCACAAGGGGTGCGCCTGGAGCTGCGCGGGCGCGGGGAGGGAGCTCCCGGCCCAGTTCCGGGCGCCGAGAGCTGGCGTTTGGAGGCGTTCCCGCCTCGATGTGTGGCGGGCGCTCGGGTTGGTAGCCCAGCGGTTAGAGCTGCTCTCCGAGACGTCTGCTGCCAAATGTGGGCGCAGCAGTGACTCGGCTCCTTCCTCCAGCGGCGCGGGGCTGACTTCCCGCCCGGGCCAGACCCTGAGCTTGACACCTGCGGGGGTCTTCGAAGACCTGGTCCCGGTCCTCCGAGGAAGGACAGTCTGTGGGGGCACTTTATGCCGTGAGTAGCCCTACCTCCAGGTGGACGTGGGTCAGCAAATGTGCATCATACAGCTTAGAAATAATAATTACCAGAAGGCTGGGCACAGTGGCTCACGTCTGTCATCCCTGCACTTTGTGAGACCAAAGTGGGTGGATCACCTGAGGTTGGGAGTTTGAGACCACCCTGGCCAACATGGTGAAACTCCGTCTCTACTAAAAATGCAAAAATTAGCCGGGTGTGGTAGTGCATACCTGTAATCCCAGCTGCTTGGGTAGCTGAGGCACGAGAATTGCCTGAACCTGGGAGGCCAAGGGTGTTGGAATCCCAGCTGGGAAATCAGGGAAGCCTTCCCAGAGGAGGTGCCATTTGCACACAGTCGAAGACGTGTGGGGGTTTTCCAGGTGGACTCCATAAGCGAGGGCAGGGTTGGTCCGCAAAGCATGAATAGCCTATGCGAAAACACCGGAGTAGTCTGGCAAGCTCGGACAGCAGTGAGTGGCTGAGTATGCAGGGGTGCAGAGGGGGAAGTGAGGCCTGGAGTTAGAAGGTCAGCCAAGGGGTAAACAGGACAGGTTCGACCTGGGCCTCCCGAATGCTAGGAAGAGCACTGACTTCTTAGTGTTGGAGGCTGGATTGAGAGTGGGAGTGGGCCCAAGGGCAGGGACACTAATTACGACCCTCTGGGAAAAATACCAGACAACAGATGGTAAGGATTTCAAGCGAAGAAATGGCCTGTGGCTTCAAAGAGGACGCTGAACTATGAGAGAGAAATAGCTGTTAATTGAATGGTTGCTGGGCTGGGTGAGAAAGGAAAATCTGGATCTGTCTCAGGTTTCAGACTTGAGAAACGAGGCAGGCTCAGGCCGGGCACAGTGGCTCACACCTGTCATCCCAGCACTTTGGGAGGCCCAGGCCGGCAGATCACCTGAGGTCGGGAGTTCGAGACCAGCCTGGCCAACATGGTGAAACGCCATCTCTACTAAAAATACAAAAAGTAGCTGGGTGTGGTGGCGCCCCTGTAATCCCAGCCACTGGGAGGCTGAGGCTAAAGAATTGCTTGAACCCGGGAAGCTCAGGTTGAAGAGAGCTAAAATCACACCTTTGCACCCCAGCCTGGGCGACAGAGAGAGACGCTGTCTCTCAAACACACAAAAAAATACACTGGGGGATCTAAGACGACACAGATGGTAGCTGTCTAGTCCTTAACCATCACCTGTACAGTGCCGGTGATAAAGTAGTCTTTCAGTAAATGTTTCTGAATGGAAGGGTGTTGAGTGAATTGCTGTGAGAGAATAGAGATCCTTCCTTAGTGGATTATGGTAAAAGACCACAAGAACTGATTTTATTGCTTCAGGCTTCCTTGAATGAAATCTTGATTTTCTGAATTGTGCGTTTGTAAGATTCCCATTTTCTTCTTCAGTTTATAGCTCTAGAGCAGCATGGATCTGCCTGTGGCTGAGTGGAAATCATACCTACTTCAAAAGTGGTCTTTACTCCCGAAGTCCATTCAGGTCACAGTTTCTACAGCAGAGACTTTGAGTGATGTCTTTCTTCAATCCTCTTCACTTCTTCAGTAAGTAAATAGAAGCCTTAACAAGGGAACTCCGATCTGGAAAATGTCCTGTTTTGTCAGTTGCTCTGAAGAACGCTCTCTCTTTCTTCTTCTTAAAGATGGAGTCTCGTTATGTTGTCCAGGCTGGTCTCAAATTTCTGGGCTAAAGCAATCCTCCCACCTTGACCTCCCAAGGTGCTGGGATTACAGGCCTGAGCCACCATGCCTGGCCCGGTAATACCTCTTTTTGATGGAAAATGCCTGAAATGCTTTTCCTGGTTTCGTTCTATCCCAGCTTGCCCTCTGTCATCCTTCAGGATTAGCTAGGTCTTTACTCAGGAAAGCTCTCCCGGAGCCTCAGCTGGGCCATCTTGACTTTTTGTACATTTACAACACTGTGTGATATTCCTTTCTATGCGTTTGTGCTCTTTTGACTCATGCCTGTCTTCACCATTAGATTGTGAACTTCATGAGGGAAGGGATCATGTTTGTATTTGTCTTTTTTTTTTTTTTTTTTAGAGGGAGGTTCTCACTCTGTCCCCCAGGCTGAAGTACAGTAGTCTGCTCTCAGCTCACTACAACCTCTGCCTCCCAGGTTCAAGCAATTCTACCGCCTCAGCCTCCTAAGTAGCTGGGATCACAGGCATGTACTACTACCCCTGGCTAATTTTTGTGTTTTTAGTAGAGGTGAGGTTTCACCATGTTGGTCGGACTGCTCTTGAACACCTGACCTCAGGTGATAGGCCCACCTTGGCCTCCCAGAGTGCTGGGATTACAGGCATGAGCCACCACAGCAGACCTTTATTTATTTTTTGAGACCAGATCTCACTTTGCCGCCTAGGCTGGAGTGCAGTGGTGCATTCTTGGCTCATTACCACCTCTGCCTCCCAGCTTCAAGCAATTCTCGTGCCTCAGCTACCCAAATAGCTGGGATTACAGGTATGCACCATCACGCCCAGGTAATTTTTGTATTTTTAGTAGAGACAGGGTTTCACCATGTTGGCCAGGCTGGTCTCAAACTCCCAACCTCAGGTGATCCACCCACTTTGGTCTCACAAAGTGCTGGGATTACAGACGTGAGCCACTGTGGCCAGCCTTCTGGCATTTATTATTTCTGAGCTGTGTGATGCACATATTGCTTTCTTGAGTTTGAATAGTTTCAGATGTAATTTTGCTCTCTTATCCCCAACTCACAGGTATATACTTTGTTTTTGTTTGTTTGTTTTTTATTTGTTTTTGAGACAGTCTCACTCTGTTGCCCAGGCTGGAGTGCAGTGGGGTGATCTCGGCTCACTGCAACCTCGGTCACCTGGGTTCAAGCAATTATCCTGCCTCAGCCTTCCAAGTAGCTGGGATTACAGGCACCTGCCACCATACCCAGCTAATTTTTGTAGTTTCACCGTCTTAGCCAGGCTGGTGTTGAACTCCTGACCTCGTGATCCACCTGCCTCAGCCTCCCAAAGTGCTGGGGTTACAGGTGGGAGCCACTGCACCCTACCTATGCTTTGTTTTTCCCTCAATCCCTCGTGATAACTGTTATAACCAATAGAATATTAAATTGATTGAAGCAACATTCAATGTATACGTTCCTATGTCTGTATGAATATTGCTTATATGAACCAAGAAGTATGCTTTGAATTACATTTCCTTTCCTATACAGCTCTTGCTTCCCCTAGGGTTAATAATTACCTCCATTTTTGTTTGCTCCGTACGTCTCTCACTAATTCATACCCAGACTTCTCTTCTTAAAAATAAGTTTCCCCAAAGAACTATTTGTAAGTCTGTTTAATCACAATCTAAAGTAACCAAAAAAGATTTAAACTTCTGATCTCGCTGGGCGCGGTGGCTCACGCCTGTAATCCCAGCACTTTGGGAGGCCGAGGCGGGTGGATCACGAGGTCAAGAGATCGAGACCATCCTGGTCAACATGGTGAAACCCCGTCTCTACTAAAAATACAAAAAAATTAGCTGGGCATGGTGGCACGTGCCTGTAATCCCAGCTACTCAGGAGGCTGAGGCAGGAGAATTGCCTGAACCCAGGAGGCGGAGGTTGCGGTGAGCCGAGATCGCGCCATTGCACTCCAGCCTGGGTAACAAGAGCAAAAATCTCCGTCTCAAAAAAAAATAAAAATAAAAAAAAATAAACTTCTGATCTCCACATGCATGCCTATTAAATAATTGGAATTGGGCTTTTAGAGTTTCAAGCTAAGAATACACTTTTCTTTCTTGCCAATATACATTCGTTGAGGGATGTTTTCCCACAATAGATGCCTTTCATCTATTGAAAACCTTTTGAGACAGAAGACCCCCTGCTCTCCACCCCTACCTCCCCACGCCTGCAATTAATAATCTCCTAGATGCCGGTTGCGGTGGCTCACGCCTGTAATCCTGGCACTTTGGGAGGCCAAGGTGGCCGGATCATGAGGTCAAGAGATCGAGACCATCCTGGCCAACATGGTGAAACCCCGTCTCTACTAAAAATACAAAAATTAGCTGGGCGTGGTGGCAGTTGCCTGTAATCCCAGCTACTTGGGAGCCTGAGGCAGAATTGCTTGAACCCCAGAGGCAGAGATTGCAGTGAGCCAGGGTCTTGCCACTGCACTCCAGCCTGAGTAACAGAGTTGAGGCTCTGTCTCGAAACAAAAATATATACATATTATGTGTGTGTGAATATTGCTCATATGAAACAAGTAAAGAAAGGGAGAAAGTTTGTCTTTACAAAAGAATGCCAGCTGATAAATGTAAAAATAATGGTAGAATTAGAAAAATCACCGTTTTGTAACCCTTAGTGTGATGAATGCTTCTGGCAATTGTCAGTGGATGCTCAAACGTTTAGAAGTAACATCATCGGGAAGCAGGCTATTCACATGATCTCAAAGTATGGCCCTATAGATTATTTAAGTACAAGGGAGAGGTGTCTTTACATTGCAAAGATTCAGCCCCAATTGCCACCTCCAAGTGACCAAACTTAGCTTCCACAGTACTGGGGAGAAATTATGTCTCCTGATTTGAGGCAACAAGAAGTATATAGATTTAACTATATGGTCATATTATTTTTGTTTGTTTTGGGACGTGGTTTTGCTCTGTCTCCCAGGCTGGAGTGCAGTGGCACGATCTCTGCTCCCTGCAACCTCCATCTCTGCTTCCTGCAACCTCCATCTCCCGGGTTCAAGTGAGTCTCCTCCGTCAGCCTCCCAAATAGCCGGGATTACAGGCATATGCCACTGTGCTGGCTAATTTTTGTATTTTTACTAGACATGAGATTTCCCCAAGTTGGCTAGACTGGTCTCAAACTCCTGACCTCAAGTGATCCACCCACCTTGGCCTCCTAAAGTACTGAGATTACAGGCGTGAGCTGCCACACCCAGCCATCTTCTTAATAAAAATTGTTTAATGTGACTCTAACCCTGAGGAAACAATAAGGCAAAATCAGAATGTGAAACATTTTTCTGGACTTGAATCTTTAAAAAAATTACTGATAGAAAAACAAAAAATTGTAGTTGGCCAGGTACAGTGGCTCACACCTATAATCACAGCACTTTGGGAGGCTGAAGCAGATGGATCCCTTGAGCCCAGAAGTTGGAGACCAGCATGGGCAACACAGACCCCAACTCTATTTTATAAAAATGAAAAGTAATTTAGCCGGGCACGGTAGTAAGTGCCTATAGTCCCAGCTACTCGGGAAGCTGAGGCAGGAGGTAAAGGATGCGGTGAGCAGAAATCATGCCACTGCACTCCAGCCTGAGCAATGGAAATGAGACCCTGTCGCAAAACAAAAATTAAGGCCGGGTACCGTGGCTCATGCCTATAATCCCAGCACTTTGGGAGGCTGAGGCGAGTGGATCATGAGGCCAAGAGATCGAGATCATCCTGGCCCACTTGGTGAAACCCCCGACTCTAGTAAAAAAATAAAAATTAGCTGAGCATGGTGGCACATGCCTATAGTCCCAGCTACTCAGGAGGCTGAGGCAGGAGAATCTCTTGAACCCAGGTGGCGGAGGTTGCAGTGAGCTGAGATCACACCATTGCACTCCAGCCTGGTGACAGTTGAGACTCTGTCTGAAAAAAATAAAAAATCTAAAAAGAGACTAAAGAGAAATAACTTAATTCAGTACATGAGAACATTGATCTTGGATTGGCTAGGGTGTAAAAAGATATAACAGACATTTTAGGACTAATTGGTAACATTATTAAATTTAATATTTGAATTACTGTTAATTTTTTAGCAATAGTGATATTATGGTAATATAGGAGAATGTCCTTTTTGAAGCAGAGGCCTGCAGATATCTGGAGGTGAACTTCCATGATGGCTGTGCTTACTTTCAAATGGCTTAGAGAAAAAATGTGTATATGTGGACATGTACCAGCTACTAAGCCAGTATGTCCAATCTCACCAATCTCCGGACTCTGGGGCCAGAGCTGGGACTTTCTGCTTTCCCAGCTGGCCCCATAAAAGGCTTTACATCTCCAGGGCTCTAAAGAGAGAAGGCCAGCCTGGAGGAAGAAAAAATGGGGTTCTTTCTGTCTGCATTCTATTGACAATTCACATTTAAAAGGCTGAAATTGTGCGTTTATATACAAAAATTAACTCAAAATGGATCAAAGACCTCAAGTTAAGAGCTAAGATTGTAAACTTCATAAAACCTAGAGGAACATCTTGACATTAGATTAGCAGTTATTTCTTGCGTATGACACTAAAAGCACAGGCAACAAAAGAAAAGCTAAACTGAACTTCGTCCAAATTAAAAACTTTTATGCTGGGCGTCGTGGCTCATACCTGTAATCCTAGCACTTTGAGAGGCCAAGGCAGAAGGATCACGTGAGCCCAGGAGTTTGAAACCAGCCTGGGCAATAAATGAGACCCCCGTCTCTACAAATAATAAATTAGCCAGGCCTGGTGGTGCATACCTGTAGCCTCAGCTACTCAGGAAGCTGAGGTGGAAGGTTGCTTGAGCCTGGGCTGAGGTGGGCAGATGACGAGGTCAAGAGATAGAGGCCACACATCCTGGCCAACATGGTGA